CTGGAATTAGCACTGGAACACCGCCTTGGAATCGGAAATGAACCGCCGATCTAGACTCTGGAACTGGAACACCGACTGGGAACCTGGAATACTGGAATACTAACTTGGAATTAGGAACGGAATTACCATAGAATCTTCGGAGTGGAATCGCTACCTGTTTAAAAGACGGTTTTCCTGTTCCTCTTAATTAGACCTTTATACCACACGCATCCTCCGATCTTTTTTTCCTCTTTCTCCTCCTCCTTTTCTTCTTCTTGCTCTCTCTCCTCCTCATCTTCTTCATGGTCTTCTTGGTCTTCCATTTCTTTTTCTCTCTCTTTTTATTATTATTGCTCTTCTCCTCCTCCTCCTCCTCATCTTCTTCTTGGTCTTCTTGGTCTTCCAGTTCTTTTTCTCTTTCTTTTTATTATTATTGCTCTTTCTCCTCCTCCTCCTCCTCCTCTCTTCTTCTTACTCTTTCTCCTACTCCCTCTTCCTCTTCTCTTGCTCTTTCTCTTTTCCCTCCCTCCCTCCCTCTCCTCCTTCCTTCCATCCCTCTCTTCCTCCCTCCCTTCTTCCTCCCCTCCCTCCCTCCCTCCCCTCCCTCCTCCTCCCTCCCTCCTTCCTCCCTCCCTCCCTTCCTCCCTCCTCTCCAGTTCCTCCCTCCCTCCTTCCCCTCCTCCCTTCCTCCCTCCCTCCTCCCTCCTCCTTCCCTCCTCCCTCCCTCCCTCCCTCCCTCCTCCACTTCCCTCCTTCCTCCTTCCCTCCTCCTCCTCCCTTCCTTTCCTCCCTCCCCTCCCTCCCTCCCCCTCCCTCCTCCCTCCTCCTCCCTCCCTCCCTCCCTCCTCCTTCCTTTCCTCCCTCCCTACCCTCCCTCCCTTCCTTCCTCCCTCCTTCCCTCCCTCATAAACGTGGGTGGGCCGCAGACCCAAGCAGCACGTAGAGAACGTGGGCGGGGAATACATATCCTATAAAGTGGAAGCGGGTTTGTCATCTTCCCGTGATAAAACTCAAGTGTTTCCTCGGGGTAAAAAAAGAAGACGAAATAAAGAGAGAAAAAGGGAAAAAGAAGGTAAAAAATAAGGAAGAAGAGAGAAAAAAGGAATGAGAGAAGAAAAAAAAAAGAGAAAGAAGGAAGAAAAAGTCTCCCAATAGAATCTAACAAGGTAAGAAAAAAGGATAATAATGATAAAATGTATGTATGAAAATTAAGATATATATCCCCCCTGCTTGGTAAAGTGGAGAATATGTATACATTCTATTTATTGATTTATTCAGAAATTTATTTGTTTATTATTAATACGATATATGTTCGTCTATTTAGCTTTTGCTTAATTCATATACAAGTCATTTATCATCTATTTAACCATTCCTTCATTTCTCACTTGATTTATTCATTTATCTAATTATCTCTTGTTTTTTCATTCCACTTACTTTTTATTTCTATTCATCCATGTATCTTTCCACTTATTTTTTGGCTTAATTTGTCCCAGTTGACGGTGAGGCGAAAATAAACATCACTTTTTTTGTTGTTTTTTTGCGTCAGAATTTCCCCGAGAGCTTTCTCGTGAGTGATCTCGGGGCGGGGGTGAGGTACTTTTTCAGGATGTTGCTATCGAGGAATATGATAACACATTTCCACGCCGTTTTGAAGTCATTGTAGTATATTGATTCAGGAAGTTTGTACTTGGAATTTGAGATGTAATCGTGATGTTTTTGTTGTTGTTTTTTTAGTCTGTTGATATATTATATAAGTTGGGAGAGTTTTTCCAACCTGGATATAACATTGTTTTTTTTTTTTTTGTATCTGTAAACTATAATTTTATATGGGATTTTCTTTTCGTTTTTTCTTTTCACTGTTGAGAGTTGTATCTTCAGTTTAATCATGCCACAACTTATAGAAATATATGTTGATGAATTATCATATACATCTTTAACATGAAAATGTCAGAGTTTGTTTCATTATTGCTTATAATAAACATTAATGGCAACTCAACTCCATCTTTTCTACGGAGTTGCTGAAGTTGTCATTACGTATCAATACATGATTGGTGGGATTAACTAGCTCGTTCTGCGCATGTGCAGAATTAAACGTTTATGCAGATCCAGAGGTGTATTAAAAGTTTATCCTGGACGCTTCCATTGCGCATGCGTACTAGAGATCTGGATTGAACTTAAACACTGGATTGACTTTTATGGCGCGGGCAGAGGACGCCCTGAGACACACCTCTGGTAATTTCAAAAAAAATGTCTTCGTAACTTTTTGAGTCATCCTGCTAACTAACTAACCAACGCGACCAATAACATAAGCTTCTTAGCGGAGGTAATAATGATAATGATAACAACAATAATAATGATAATAATAATAGTAATAATAAAGATAATGACGATGATGATAGTTACAACAATTATAATGATGATGACAATGTTAGTAATGAAAATGATGATAAAGATAACAATAGTAACAATAACAAAGATAATAATGATGATTACAATGATTATAATGACAATAACAGTGATAGTAATAATAACAATAATAAAAATAATAACAATGATAATAACGATAACAATTGTCATTATGATGATAATAATAATGATAGTAATAATGCTAACAAAGAAGATAATGCACTAAAAAGTTAGATTGGAAAAACGTTTCTGGCCTAGAAATTACCAGTTCTTGCGCGAATAGAGTGCACCAAAGTGTTCATTCCTAAACGTTGAGAAATTCCTTCTGCCTAAATTCTCTTTCGCGGATAAATTCGTTTAGCGTTTTGATCGCGTCGGAGGGAAGGTGTGAGAATGATGTCATTTCTTGTGGTTTCCGGTTGAGCTGATTGATGACTAATGGGTGTGAATTGTGATTGATAGATGGAAGATTCGGTGGATGTGATAAGGGAAGAAAAGTAAATTATTGTATACATTAAATGGAGAGAGGAGAGGGAGAGAGAGAAGAGAGAGAGAGAGAGAGAGAGAGAGAGAGAGAAGAGAGAGAGAGAGAGAGAGAGAGAGATGGCAGGGGGGGGACAGACACAGACAGATAAGCAGAGGAATGTACACAACATATTCTTATGATTCTGATAATGAACAGATGTCATTTTCTTTACCATAATAGCATTATTAATAAGATCATCATGATAGATGATGATGATCACAAAATCCATAAGCCATAGCAATGATAATTAAGGCGACAATAAATGTAGAACGAAAACTGTAATGGCGCTGATATGATTCACATCTTCGATCACGTGTCTGTTAATTTCTCTATAAATCACACAAGAAATCACTGCAAATTATCATTACTCCCCGGGCCCCCTGTTAATCAATACCCCCCCCCATCCCCATCACCTACCACCCTCAGTCCCCCTCTCCCTTACCCCCCCTCCCCCATCCCCCCATCTTTCCAATTTACTATAAGTGTATCGAGGGCTAACTTAATGCGAGCCATAATTTACCGAAGTCTCCCCCTTCCTTCCTTCCTTCCTTCCCTCTCCCTTCCCCGTCCGCGCGCGCTCCCGGAACATAGAAAACGATGGCCTGCGATTGTCGTCCATTTGTGCCTAAGGAAGCGTATTGGAGGATAACTCTTCGCTTCTGCAGACACGTCTTCGCCGCCGCGTCAGGCTGGAGGCCCCGCGCCGGTCATCAGCGGCGGCAGTTAAGGGAAATGAAGTGTGTAATTAAGGGCTTCTGGGGGCTCCTTCTCCTCCTCTTCCTCCTCCTCCTCCTCCATTTTATTGTTCCTCCTTTATCTCTCTGTCTTATTCCTGTTCGTTCCTCCTGCCTTTCCTCTTCCTTTCTCTTGATTTCTTACTTCATCATTTTCTCTCATCTTCCTCTTTCCTCTCTTCTCCTCCTCCTCCATTTTATTGCTCCTCCTTTATCCTCTGTCTAATTCCATTCGTTTCCTCCTTCCTTTCCTTTCTTCCTTTCCTCGACTTCTTCAGTATTTTCTCCTCATCATCCTCTTCCTCCTCTTCTTCTTCCTCCTCCTCCTCCTCCTTCTATGCATACACACACATGTGCATATATGTGTGTGTGTGCGAGTATGTGTATATATAGATAGATTGAGAGACTGATAGATAGATACAGTTATAGATATAATTGAGTATATGTATGTGTATGTTGAGTGGGTGGGTGAGTGTGTATGGATACTTATGAAAGTGAGAAGAGAAAGTTATCCATATCTACACCTTTCACATTCCTTTCTCAGCCGAAGATGAGAAAATCTTGTTATTCCACTTCCCACCTCCTAGATCCCCCCCCCCCCCCGCCAATACCTAAATCTAGATCCCTCCCGAAGCACAGCCCTTTGCCCCCCCTCCCCCCTACCTTCTTGGCTCCCTCCTGTCTTACTCTTATTTCTTATCTTCGCTTACTTCTAACCCTTTTATTGTCTCTCCTCATCCCCCCCCCCCGTCACCTCCCCTTTTTATCGCTTCCTTATCCGTTGTTTCACTTACCTTCTGTTTATTTCTTATTCTTCTTCTTTTTTTTCCTCTTATCCATTATTGTCACTTTCTCTCTGTTAATTTCTTTTGTTTTTTCTCTTTTCCTTCCTTATTCCTATTTTTCGCTTGTCTATTTTATTTTTTTTTTTTCACTTTTCTTTCCATCATCTTTCTTTCTCTTTTTCTCTTAATCATTTTCACTTTTGCTTCTGTTTCTTTTCTTATTTTTTTCTTTTCCTTATCCCTTATTTTCTGTTGCTCTTTGCTTTTTCCTCCTTTATCCCTTTTTTGCTTCTCTTTCGCTTTTCCTTATTCTTTCTTTCCGCATTACCTTCCTTTTCCCATTTCTCCATTTCTTCCTCTCGCTATCACCCCCTTGCCTCTCCTCTCTTTCGTCTCTTCCTCCTTTCCGTCTTCCCCTATCCTCCTCTCGCCTTCCCATCTCTTTCTTTCTCCTTTTCCTATTCTTTCATCTCAATTCCCTCTCCCCCTCGTCCCTTTTTCTCTATTGTTACCTTTCAAGTTCTTCCCTTCTTCTATTTTCCTTCCATTCATTCCCCTTTCCCTTTTTCTTTCTCTTTCTCCCTCTCTTCTCTTCCTCTCTTTCTACCCCATCTTCCTCACTAATTAATCCTATTACTCCCTCTCCCCTCTCTTCCTCTTTTCCCTCTTTCCCTTTTCCTTTCCCCATTCCCCCCTCATCTTCCTCCCCCTTATCCCCTCACTTCCCATTCCTTTATTTCCCCTTCTTCTTCCCCCTCTCTCTTCCTCGTCCTTCCTCTCCACCTCAATTCCCCTTCCTCTCCCGTCTCCTTTATTCCCTCTCCTCCTCCTCCTTCCCTTCCTCCTCTCCTCTCTCTCTCCTTTCTCTGCTTACCCCACCAACCTCCCTCTTCTTAACCCCCTTCCTCCTTTTCAATAACCCTTCCCCCTTCTCCCAACCAGCCCCCCCCTTCCTTCCTCCCTATCCTCCCCAACCCACCCTTCCCCCACCAACCCTCCCCAACCCCCCCAACCCCCCCAACCCCCTCCCCCACCCCCCTCGGGATGTGATGTATCCCGCAGGTCAGAGTTTGTCCCTCGCGCCCTATCGCTCGTTTGGTCTCGTCCGCTCCATGAAACCGAACCTTATGAACGTAATGAATAGGGGTGATTTCTCTTGTAAACAATCGCTGCTTTGTTGTATTTCACAAAAGGCTTGATGTATCTATAGGGATTTGGGGTCGGGGGGGGGGGGGGGGAGGTGAGAGGGGGGGAAGGGAGGGTGAGAGGGGGGTGAGGGGTGGCAGGAAGGAAGAGGAAGGGGGAGAGTAGAGAGAGGAGGGAAAGGTGGGGGAGGGAGAAGGAGAGGAGGGAAAGGGCGAGGGTGAAAGAGAAAAGGGGGAGGGGGAGAGGAGAGAGGAAGGATGTGGGAGGGTGAAAGAGGAAGAAAAGAGGAAGAGTGAAGGAAAGAGGGAGAGGAATAGGAGTGGGAGAGAGTGGAAGGGCGTAGGTAAGAGAGAAAAGAGTGATAGACGGAGAGGTGAAGGAGGGGGAAAATGGAGAAGAGGAAAGGGCGAGGAAAAGAAAAAGAGAAGGGAAAGGTTAAGAAAAAAAGAAGAGGGAAAGAAGGAGAAAGGTAGAGGGAAAGGATGGAGGAGAGAGGGAAAAGGAGGATAAGAACAGGATTAGAGAGGAGAGGAGAGAAGAAGAGGAAGAAAAGGAAAAGGGAGGATGAGGCACAGAAAGGAGGGAGAGGGAAAGTGGAGCAAAAGGGAAAAAAGAGGAAAAAGAAAAAAAAAAAGGGAGGGGGAGCGAGAAGAGGAAAAGAAAAGGAGAGGGATAAAATGAGAGAGAAAGAGTGGAGGAAAGAGAGAGGAAAGTAAAGAAGAATTAATAAGCGAAGAAAAAAGAGGCGGAGAAACAGGGTCAGATGGCGGGAGGAGGATAAAGCTGAAAGAGAAAAGAGAAGAGAAAAAAGGAGAACAAGAGGAGGCTGAAAGAGAAGAAGGAGAGAGTAGGAAAGGGAAGAGGAAGAAAAAGAACAGGAACAAGAACAAGAAAAAAAGGAAAAATAAGAGAAATGGATAAGAAAAAAAAAGGAATATGAGGAGTAAATAAAAGAAGGAAGTGAAACTGCGGGAGAGAAAATGGAAAGGAGAGAAGGAAAAGGGAGGGAAGGAGGGAAATGGAGGGATATGCGAAGGAGAGGAGGGAAGGGGAGGGAGGAGGGGAAGAAATTTAGGGAGGGAAGGAAGGAGTGAGGAAGAAGGGCGAGAGAAAGCTAGAGAAAGGGAGGGGGAGAGAAAGTGATAGAAGGGAGGAAAGGAAGTGGAAAGGGAGGGAAGAAGGAGGGAGGGAGTTTGGGAGGAAGTAGGGTGAGTGAGGGAGCAAGGGGAAAGGAAGAGAGAAGGAGAGAAAGGGAGGGAAGGGATAGGAAGTTATAGATAGGAAGGAGATAAGAAAGGTGTGAAGGTTAGGAAGGAGGGAAGGAAGGGGGGGGGGCTAAGGAATTTTTGAGAGGAGAGAAGAAAGAAAGAGAAGGAATAAGGAAAGGGAAGCGAAAAGAGGGAAGGAAGGAAGGGGGAAACGTGAAAGAAGGAGGGAAGAAGAAGGAAAAAGAAAGGAAGGAAGGAAGGAAGGAGGTGGAGGAAGCTAAGGAATTCCAAGGAGGGAAGGAATGAAGGGAGTTAAGGAGCTCCCAGGAAGGAAGAAGAAGGAAAGGAAGAAGAAAGGAAGAAGTTTCGTAAAGGAGGGAAAGACGGGTTCCAAAAGGAGGGAAGGAGGGTTACCAGAAAGTTTCCAGGAGGGAGTTACCCAGAAGGGATGAGGAGGGCAGGAGGGAGTTCAGAGGGAGATGAGGAGGGCCAGGAGGGAGTTCCAGGAGTTCCAGGAGGGATTTCCAGGAGGAGAGGAGAGAAGGGAGGGCAGGAGGGAGCCAGGAGCGAGTTCAGGAGGGAGTTCCAGGAGGAGTTTCCAGGAGGGAGTTCCAGGAGGGGAAGTTCAGGAGGGAGTTCCAGGAGGGAGTTCCAGGAGGGAGGGCCAGGAGGGAGGCCAGAAAGAGTTCCAGAAGGAGTGCCAGGAGGAGTGCCAGGAGGGAGTTCCAGGAGGGAGTTCCACAAGGAGGGAGTTCCAGAGGGAGTTCCAGGAGGGAGTGCCAGGAGGGAGTTCACCAGGGGAGTTCCAGGAGGAGTTCCAGGAGGGAGTGCCAGGAGGGAGTGCCAGGAGGGAGTGGAGGAGGGAGTGCCAGGAGGAGGGCAGGAGGGAGTTCCAGGAGGGAGTGCCAGGAGGGAGTTCCAGGAGGGAGTGCCCCAGGAGGGAGGGCAGGAGGGAGTTCCAGGAGGGAGTTCCAGAGGGAGTTCCAGGAGGAGTTCCAAGAGGGAGTTCCAGGAGCCAGGAGTTCCAGGAGGGAGGAGGGAGTGCCAGGAGGAGTTCCAGGAGGGAGTTCCAGGAGGGAAGTGCCAAGAGGAGGGGAGTCCAGGAGGGATTCCAGGAGGGAGTTCCAGGAGGAGTTCCCAGGAGTTCCAGAGGGAGTTCCAGGAGGGAGTTTCCAGGAGGGAGTTCCCAGGAGAGAGGGAGTTCCAGGAGGAGTTCCAGGAGGGAGTTCCAAGAGAGTGCCAGAAGGCCGGAGGGGAGTTCCAGAGGGAGTTTCCAGGGTGCCAGGAGGGAGTTTCCAGGAAGGGAGTTCCAGGAGGGAGTGCCAGGAGGGAGTTCCAGGAGGGAGTTCCAAGAAGGGAGTGCCAGGAGGGAGTTCCAGAGGGAGTTCCAGGAGGGAGTTCAGGAGGGAGTTCCAAGAGGGAGTGCCAGGAGGGAGTTCCAGGAGGGAGTTCCAGGAGGGAGTTCCAGGAGGGAGTTCCAAGAGGGAGTTCCAGGAGGGAGTTCCAGGAGGGAGTTCCAAGAGGGCAGTGCCAAGGAGGGAGTTCCAAGAGGAGAGTCCAGGAGGGAGTTCCAAGAGGGATTCCAGGAGGGAAGGAGGAGTTCGGGATGCCAGGAGGGAGTTCCAGGGAGGGAGTTCCAAGAGGGAGTGCCAGAGGGCAGTTCCAGAGAGGAGGAGTGCCAGGAGGGAGTGCCAGGAGGGAGTTGCCAGGAGGAGTTGCAAAGGGGAGTTTCCAGGAGGAAGTGAGGAGTGCCAGGAGGTCCAGGAGGGAGTGCCAGAGGGAGGCCAGGGGAGTTCCAGGAGGGAGTTCCAAGAGGAGGCCAGGAGGGAGTTCCAGAGGGAGTTCCAGGAGAGGGAGTTCCAAGAGGGAGTCCAGGAGGACTGCCAGGAGGGAGTGCCAGAGGGAGTTCCAGGAGAGGGAGTTCCAGGAGGGGGAGGAAGTGCCAGGAGGGAGTTCCAGGAGGGAGTTCCAAGGGAGTTCCAGTGGCCAGAGGGAGTGCCAGGAGGCGAAGTGCCAAAGGGAGTTCCAGGAGGGAGTGCCAGGAGGGAGAGTTCCAGGAGGGAGTTCCAAGGAAGGGAGTCCCGGAGGGAGTGCCAGAGGGAGTTCCAGGAGGGAGTTCCAAGAGGGGATGCCAGGAGGGAGTTCCAGCCAGCCCAGCCAGGAGGGAGTTCCAGGAGGGAGTAGAGGAGTCCAGGAGTGAGCCAGAGAGGGAGTTCCAGGAGGGAGTTCTCCAGTTTCCAGGGAGGGAGTTCCCAAGAGGGAGCCAGGGAGTTCCAAGAGGGAGTTCCAGCCAGGAGGAGTGGAGTGGAGGGAGTGGGAGGGAGTTCCAGGAGGGAGTTCCAGAGGGAGTGCGCCAGGAGGGAGTTCGAGGGAGTGCCAGGAGCTTCGGATTCCAAGAGGGTTGCCAGGAGGAGTGCTACGCTACCAGGAGGGGGGTCAGGCGCGCGACGATCACGTGACGATCTTGGAACCATCGCCAACTGTCGTATTAACTAAAGGAAACGGCCGGAGCGGTGACTTATGGACGCGGCGGGGAGGTGGAGGGACTTGGCGCACGCACGGGATGGTGGATGGATGGATGGATGGATGGATGGAATGGATGGAATGGATGGATGGATGGATAGAAGCACGCACGGATGGATGGATAGATGGATAGATGGATGGATAGAAGCACGCACGCACGGAGGATGGATGGATAGAAGCATGGAGGATAGATGATAGAAGCACGCACGCACGGACGGATGGATGGATGGATGGATAGATGGATAGAAGCACGCACGCAACGGCACGCACGGATGGATGGATGGATGATGGATTGCACGATGATGGATGGATAGAACAACGCACGCAGCACGGACGAATGGATGGATGGAAGCACGCACGCACGACGCACGGATGGATGGATAGAAGCACGCACGCACGGACGGATGGATGGACGGACGCAAGGAAGCACGGATACACTCACGGACGGATAGAAGGTCGCACTCGAGAACGGACGCGGAGCAAGGTCTATTAAGGCCTTGATCACGAACCGATTCGCAGAAACATGCACGCACATTCTCCACGGACGGACGCACGAAATCACGCACACCATTTACTTACTCAAGCTGTCACTCACTCATTCACTCACGTACACACGCACGCACAAACGCACTCACACTCACTCACACACGCACTCACTCACTCACTCACTCACACGACCAACTCACTCACACACGCACGCACACACGCACTTACTTACTCGTCACTCCACTCACACACGCACACGCACTCACGCACTCACTCACTCACACTCACTCTCACACAGCACTCACTCACGCACTCACTCACTCACTCACGCACACACTTACGTACTCAGGCCCACACGTACACACGACAACACGTACTCGCCATAGATCATTTCAGTAATATATGTATACGTGTGAAGCCGAAGATTTACACACGTACAGAGAATGATCCGAAAGAACAAAGGTAGAACGATAATGACAGGAATAATGATGACAGTGATGATGATGGCGATGATGAAGGAGGAGGGGAATGATAATTGTGATGATAATGATAATGGTGAAGTTGATAGAGTAATGATAATAACAATAATAATAATGATAAAAAAATGATATGAAAATAGTGATAATGATGGTGAAATGTGATAATGATAATGAAAATAATAGCAAAAATGATAATGATAATGACAATGGTAATAACGAAAGTGATAATATTAATGATGACGATGATGGTAATAACAATAATGATAATGATATTGATAACATTGATACTGATAATGATAGCAGTAATAATAATAATGATAATGGTAATAACAATAATAATAACAATAATAACATTAATGAAAAGAAAAAGAAAAAGAAGAAGAAGAGGAGAAGGAGGAACAGGAATAGGAAGAGACTGAGGGAGAGAAAGTAAAAGAACACAAAAAAGAAGGAAGAAAAAAAAAAGATAAACAAATGAAAGAAAGAAAAAAAAGAAACAGACGGAGGAGAGAAAAAAGAAATCAAATCAAAGAAAGCAAGGCAGAAAGAAGAAAATTGAATAAAGGAAAAAAAAGAAAAGAAATAAGAGGAGGAGGAGGAGAGGAATAGGAAGAGACTTTGGGAGAGAAAGTAAAAGAACACAAAAAAGAAGGAAGAAGAAAAAAAGATAAACAAACGAAAGAAAGAATTTAGAAACAGACGGAGGAGGGGGAAAAAGAAGAAATCAAATCAAAGAAAGCAAGCCAGAAAAAAAAAGAAGACTGAGAAAAGGAAAAGAAAAAAAAAAGAAATAAGAAAAAATAATAATGAATAAATAAGGGGGTCGGGGTCAAATCAAATCAAGAAAGCAAGGCAGAAAGAAGAAGACTGAGAAAAGGAATAAGAAAAAAGGATAATAAATAAATAAGGGGGTCGTGGGGGTCGGGGTGGGGGGGTGGGGGGGCGAGAGGCCTAGCACAAAGCAGCATACATCTTCCTGATCCATCGGCCTCCTCGCGAGAGAGAGACAGCTCACCTTCCTCATTACCGCTTCCTTGAGCATACGCCGGCCTCCTCCTCAGGACTCACGGCCTCCTGTGCTGCTTAGGCCTCTACGCACATCTTTTGTCATTATTATTATTATCATTATTATCATTATTATCATATTATCATCATTATTATCATTATTATCATTATTATTAATATGTGATTATTATTGTTATTGTCATGATTATTATCATCATCATTATCATTGCTATTTCTATTATAATTACTAATATTACTCTTACTGTTATTATTAGTGTTGTTATTGTTATCATTATTATCATTATTGTTACTATTATGATTATTTTTAGTATCATTAGTACTTTCATCACTATTTTTATCATTATCATCATTATAATAATCTTTGTTACTATCATTATTAATATAATTATCATCACCACGATTATCATTATCACTATTACTACTATTATTATCATTACCATTATCATTATTACTATCACTTTTATCATTATCATTAGTATCATCTTCATTCTCATTGTCAGTATCATTGTTATCATTATTATCAATATCATCATTATTATTGCTATATCGTCATTATTATTGGTCATTACTATCATTACTTTTCATCACCATTACCATCATTTATAATTTTTTTATTATCATCGTTACAATTCATTATAACTATATAACCTTTATTTATCACCATTATCATCGTCACAATTATAATTATAACTATTACTATAATTTTATCATTATTGTTATCATTATCATCATTATTATTATTATCATTAATATCCTCATTACTATCATTACTATGACTATCAGTATTGCTATGATAATCATTACCATTATCATCATTATTATTGTCATCATTAAGACTATCATTATTATTTTCATTACTGCCATTATTATCATTATCATTATTCTTAACATCATCATTGATATTATCATTACGATCGTTATGATTATTATTATTATAATTATTTCATCCATCATCATTATTACATTATTATTTATTACTATCATTATCATATCATTTATTAACATTATTATTATATTGTTATAACACTTTTTGTTTAATATCACTATGATATCATTATATCATTCATTATCATTTTCTGTTATCTTTATCCCCCCATCATTATCATATCATCAATATCTATTATCATTATCAGTATCTATATCATTGCTATTCTTACTATCATCGTCATTATTATTACTGTAATCACCATTTGTTATTGTTATTTTCATCTTCATTATTATTATTCTCTTTCTGCCTCTCTCGTTAAGGAATCAACAAAAAGAGTGGAGAAGAATTCTCTCTCTCTCTCTCTCTCTCTCTCTCTCTCTCTCTCTCTCTCTCTCTCTCTCCTCTCTCTCTCTCTCTCTCTCTCTCTCTCTCTCTCTCGTCTCTCTCTTCCTCTCTCTCTCTCTCTCTTCTCATCTCTCTCTCTCTCTTCTCTCTCACATTCTCTCTCTCTNCTCTTCTCTCTTCTCTTCTCTCTCTCTCTTCTCTCTCTCTCTCCTCTCTCTGCTCTCTTCCTCTTCCTCCTCCTCCTCTCTCTCTCTCTCTCTCTTCTCTTCTTCTTCTTCTTCTCTCCCTCCCTCTCTCTCTCTCTCTCTCTCTCTCTCTCTCTCTTCTTCCTCTCTCTCCTCTCCTCTCTCTCTTCTCTCTCTCTCTCTCTCTCTCTTCTCTCTCTCTCCTCTCTCCCTCTCTCTCTCCTCTCTCTCTCTCTCTCTCTCTCTCTCTCTCTCTCTCTCTCTCTCTCTCTCTCTCTCTCTCTCTCTCTCTCTCTCTCTCTCTCCCTCCTCTCCCTCCCTCTCTCTCCCCGTCGACCTTACCCCAACCGGCCTCCCTTTCCCATCCCTAAAAGCCATTATCCGGACAACAACCTCTTCTTCCTATTTTTTCGCCTCTTCTCTTTTCTCATTTCGTTCTACTTCATTTTTTTCTCTTGCACTTTTTCTCGTTTCTTTGTTCTATCTCTCGCTTTTGTTTTTCTCTCTCTCTCTCTCTCTCTGTCTGTCTCTATATTTGCCATTTTCATATCTTTGCTATTTTCTCTATTTCCTCTCTCCTCATTCTCTTCTCTCAGTCTCTCTCTCTTTTTCCTCTGATTCCCCCACTCCCGTCTTATTATTTCTCTCTCTCTCTCTCTCTCTCTCTCTCTCTCTATCTATCTCTATCTATCTATCTTATCTATCTATCTATTCTATCTATCTATCTTCTATCTGTCTTTCTCTCTCTCTCTTCTCTCTCTCTGTCTCTCTTTCTCTTCTCTCTCTCTCTCTCTTCTCTCTCTCTCTTTCTCTCTCTCCCTCTCTCTCTCTCTCTCTCTCTCTCTCTCTCTCTCTCTCTCTCTCTCCTCTCTCTCCTTCCTTGGCCTTTCCCTTCTTTTCTTCCCCTTTCCCACTTTTACTCCCCCGCCCCGTCTCTTCGAAGGTTCGATTTGTCCACTAGTGTTCGTATTATTTTCATTGTTGTTGTTGCTATCATCATTATTATTATCATTATCATTATTACTACCATTGTTGTTGCTGTTGCTATCTCTTTCTATTCGTATGATTGTTTGAACCTTTGCCTTCATCTGATAGCTGTCTCTCCTTTTTTGTTTGTGTGTTTGTTTGTTTCTGTAACTTACGTATTCAATTTTTTATCCCCTTTTTGTGTGTGTTTGTGTAGACTTTTGTCTTAGCATTTTTTTTTATAATCATCGCTATTATTACTATCATTATTATTATCTTTATTGAATATCATTATTATTATCATTAATATTAGCATTATTATTATCATTATAATAGCATATTATTCATTATAATATCATTATCTTTATCATTTATCTTTATTTATTTTATTATCTATATTGTTATTATCATTATCATTGTTATTGCCGTTATTATTGTTATTATTATTACCACTGTTATTATCATTATCATTGCTATTATCGTTATTATTGTTATAATTATCATTGTTATCATCATTGCAACTTTTTTAATTATTC